ACCTGCGACCCAAAGCAACCCTATGTACAGCAGCTCTGAACCTTGCCCTGTCCTGAGCCAGTCTCACTAATTCCAACATACCAACCCCTATTACCACAGTTACTGTATCCATCTCATCCAGAATCTTTCTCTCCTGTGCTTTCCTTCTACCCTTCCAAGCATGATGTCCTTCTCCAAGGACCAGTCTCTCTTGGCCATGTGCCTAAAGTGTATGAGACAGAGCTTCAGAATTGTAGCCTCCAAGGAGAAACTTGGTTTCACGCTATCCAAAAAAGACTTGTTTTCTTGGTGATCCGTGGTATATTCAAGACTCTCCTCCAGAACCACAATTGAAAGGCATCAATTATTCTTCTGTCATCCTTAGTAATTTTCCAGATTTCTGATACACAGAAAATAATTGCCAAGACCATGGCCTGGATGAGGCACACCTTAGTGTCTAGACTAAAATTGCCACTTTTTAGCATAGAGAGGTCCCTGACAGCAGATTTTCCCAATGTAATTTATCTTTTGACTTCCTGACTGCTGGTGTTAAGAGTGTTGATTGTGGAACTGAGCAAGTTGTAGTTGTTAACAACCTCAATCTCTTCTCCGTCTATCATGGTGCTGCCAGTTGGCCCAATGGTGAGAATCTTTGTCTTCTTGATGCTGAGCTTCAATCCATGTTGAAAACTATAATCCTTGACCTTCTGCAGCAAGAGCTTCAGGTCTTCCTCAGTTTCAGCAAGCAAGGTATGTCATCTGCATAATATAGTTGATGAGTCTTCCTCTAATCCTGATGCCACATTCCTCCTCATAAACCCCTGCTTCCCAAATGATCTGTTCTGCATATAGACTGGAAACAGGATGCAACTCTGACAGACTCCTTTCTTGATTTTGAACCATGAAGTGTTTCTCAGCTCTGTTCTTAGGAGTGCTTCCTGGTCTAAGTATAGATTTCACATAAGCACAATCAAGTGTTCTTGGATTCCTATTTTACTCAATGTTAACCAAAATTTGTGTGATCCATACAGTCAAATGCCTTTGCATAGTCAATGAAACACAGATAGACATTCCTCTGGTACTCTGCTTTCTGCCAAGATCCACCTGACATTGGCAATAATGTCTCTAGTGCCATGACCTCTTATAAACTCGGCTTGTATTTCCGGTGGTTCTCTATGTACTGTTATAGTCATTTCTGGATAATCCCCATCAGGATTTTGCTAGTGTGTAATATTAGTGATATTATTTGATAATTTCCACACTATAGGGTCATCTTTTTTTGGAATGGGAATAAATATGGATCTCTACCAGTCAGTTGGTGAGGTAATTGTCCTCCAGATTTCTTAGCACAACCTGGTGAACACATCCAGGCAAGTACCTGTTTGTTGAAATATGTCAATTGGTATTCCATCAAATCCTGGGGGCTTTATTTTTTTGCCAAGTCCTTCAGAGTAGCCTGAACTTCCTCCTTTATCACCATAGGTTTTTGATCATACGTCATTTCTTAAAATTCTCCTGTGTCAGCCAATTCATTTTGGTACAATGACTCTGTATACTCCTGCAGTCTTCTTTTAATGCTTCCTGAATCATTCAATATTCTGCTCATAGCATCCTTAAGCATTGAAACTTGTTGCCTGAATATCTTCTTTAGTTTCTTTAGCTTAAGAAATGCTGAACAAGTTTGGTCCTTTTGATTTTCTGACTCCAGATCCTTGCATATTTCATTATACTACTTTGCCTCATTTCCAGAGTTGCCCTTTGAAATTTTCTGTTCAGCTCCTTAACATCTTGATTTCTTCCCTTTGCTTTGGCTTCTTGGTTCTCTAAGTGCAAATATTCAGTCTATTCTGACATCCATTTTGGTATTTTCTTCTTCCTTCTTTGTTATGACCTTTTGCATTCTTTGTGAATCATATTATTGATATCTTCCCACAGCACTTCTGGTCTTCATCCATTGGTGTCCAAAGCCTCAAACCTGTTCCTGAGTTGGTTTGGATTTCTGAAATATCTTCCTTGCTTTGTGCTCAACATATATCCTGCATCTGACTTGGTCACCACTAAGTCCATTGGATCAGAGCCAGTGACTTTGCCGTCTTACATACTACTCTTGTATTTGTCAGCCTTGGAAGCTAGAAGCCTGCTTTCTGACTTTCCAGTCTCAGATTTGTCAGTTCCTGCAACTACTTAAGTTGGAAGAAGTCTCTTGCTTAACATCTGACCCAGGAACTTGGGATTTGCCAACCTCTATAAGTGAATGAGTCATTTTAGTAATCTAAGTATCTCTCTCTGAAACTCATTAAGGAGATTTGCTGGCATGGTATTTAACAAGTTATCTGGCTGCTAACTAAAAGTTGTTGTTTTTTTCTTTTCTCTCATGACTAATTTTGCTTTATTTATATTCTTACCTATTCACTAGGTTATTTTTAAGCCAATTTCAGGCATGATATAATTGTATCTGTTTATATTTCAGAATATAAATCTACAAGTATGATTACCTTTTAAGACCATAGTATTACTCACAAATAAAATACTAACAATAATTTATTATAGTCAGAGGTCAAATTGTCTTAATTGTCATACATATTATATATGCACGTTGTTGTTGTTGTTGTGTGCCAACAAGTTGCCTGTACTAGTGATAAAATTCAATAATTTCCACACTCAGTCGGATCACCTTTTTTTTTTGGTATAGGAATAAATATGAATCTCTTCCAGCTGGTTGGGCAGGTAGCTGTCCTCCAGATTGCTTGGTGCAGCCAGGTGAGCACATCCAGGGCAGCATCTATTTGTTGAAATATGCCAATTGATATTCATTCTATCAATATATAAGAAAATATTTATTTGTTTTAATCAAAGTTCAAACAAGAGTTATGTGATTCATTAGTTTATCTCTTCAGTATTTTCCCCCTTTTTCTGTTTTATTAGTTTGCCTAAAATAACTTATACACATTCTTCAAAACTGACCCTCCAGCTGGTTAATCGCACAAGGAGAAGATCGTCCATCTTTCTCCTGTGGAGCAGCTGATAGATTTGAACCACATGCCTTTGAGTTAGCAGCACAACCTCTCACCACTAAGCCAGGCAGTTCTAATCCACTAGTCGCTCTGCAGGAGAAAGATAGTCTCCTCTTGTAAAGATTTGCCACTTCAGAAAGTCAATGCACTATGTATCAGAACCAAGTTGACAACATTGAGGGTATTTTCAGCATATTTCATTGATTTTGCTGACAGGTAAGAAACTGTCTGGCTACAACAAAAAGAAAGAGAACTTTTATAGAAGGTCCATATATACTCCAAGCAGGTTATACCCCTAGGGAAACCCTTTTTGACTGATTGACTTCCTATAGGAGATTTCATCATGGAAGTGAGTAGATTATATCAATTCTTATCAAGAGAAGGATTACATCATAACTGTCAAAACAAAAGGCAAGTTGACACACAACTTTAACCACAGAAAAACTCCTAAGAGATTATTTCAACTAGAGCAGCTATGTCCACTGGGTGATAAGAATTTAGGAGCCTGTCCCTGTCTCAAGGCATTTCTGAGTGGTCACCCCAGCTTCTGTCAGTTTAGGCCTTTGGTGAGTCTGTCTCACAATCAATTTCTTCCTCTGCTAAATCCTGTTTTCACTTAATTTCCATAGGTATCAACAATCTGCATTATGCAGATGACACAACCCTGCTTGCTGAAACTGAGGAGGACCTGAAGCACCTGCTGCAGAGGGTCAAGGACTGTAGC